CTCTTTATACATCAGAGATCTTAACCCAGACATGTAAACTGCATACAGTGTATACCAGCCACTCTGAGAAATTCTTCTTCTGCCTGTGTCTTTGGTCCTTCAGACCCAAGCTAGCCGTTTTCTAGCACTTCTGTTCAGAGTTGCCAGGCACAAGTTTATCCCACACTAAGATCTCTTTCTTGAGTTAAAAAACAAAACAATTCAAAAACTCCTCACTGCCTGCTCTTCCAAATTGCAAAATGTTGTGTATTATTCGTGATTACTGTAATAATGGAAACAAGCCAGCTATTTGAGAAGGGAAATGTTGACACTTTGTATTTTGGAAACATTTACAAAGGCACCTGGCTATTTTAAAAGTGTTTGAAGGATGTTTTCTTCACAAAGACATTAAGTTCTGGCAAGAATGAAGAGCTAACTGCCTGGCATGCTGTGGAAGCACAAGAAGGCTGGAGCCCTGGCATTCCTCTCAGCTTCCAAGAGCTGGGCCATGTGGGCCCCTGTGCAGGCGGGCATTTCGAGCACACTTCACAAATAGGCCCCCGTGTCCCCAGGAACCAAGACCACAGGGCTGATGTGTTCACGGCAAGAACCCTGTCATTCATTGTCACTAATGTTCCTTTGTTATGAAACCTGCCTTTGAGGGGCCTGTGGTGAGAATGCAGTGACACTCAACCCTCACTGGTATTCTGGCAACAGGTCACATGGCACTTGCTCCTTGCCGCCAGCCTCCTTTGGTGGACCTCCTGGTTTTCCTGAGCTCAGTTTCTGCCTTTGCCTCCCCAGGAACCTGGTTTCTGACAAGCAGGACTCCCTGGCCCAGTGTGCAGACTTCAGGAGCAGCCTGCCTCCCCAGGACGCCATGCTGTGCTCGGGACCCTTAGCCATAGTCCAGGGCCGTGCCTCCACGTAGGTGACCTAAGTGCTGGGAGAGGTGGTGGGGTCATGCAAATACAGTTCCACCAAGGCCAGCCCTCTGATTGCTGTCCCCTGTGCCCAGCACAGGCAGGCTGTGGGTGCCAAGAGTTGTAGGCCCATGTTGGGTAGTATCGCAGGGTGCTGGGATGCAAGCCTCTTTACTTCAGGGCCCAGATGGCAGTCTGAGGTGCTACGGGCCATGGATACCCATGTTGGGCAATATTTTGGTTGGGGGTCTAGGCCTTTGGCCTGTCACCTCAGGGGCCTAAATGGCAGGTGCAGGGCGGGGTACACCTGGGGTGCCAGAGTGTCTAGGAAGTCCACAGCTGGGACATGGGGATGGGTGGGCCAGCCTGGAGTCTATCTGCCCCCATGCTCGCTTCTTGCTGGTGCCCTGGGCGCATGGTGGGAGCCTCCTGCTCCATGCAGTGCTCGCTGCTTCATGATGTGTACCCTGCCGGTCTCTGCAGTTCAGGGAGGCAGGCAGCCCGGCTTTTCTCCGTGCCTCACGTGGTGCAGCAGGAAACCACCCTGGCCTACCTGGAGAACCAGGTCGCGGCGGCACTCACCCTGCAGTCCAGCCATGAGTACCGCCATTGGCTCCTCCTCTACGCACGGTACCTCGTCAACGAAGGTGAGGTTCCTGGTGGCTCCTCCATCCCCCTAGGCCCGGCTTAATCCCTGTCCCAACACAACCCTTCTGAGAGCCCGTGAATCAGGGCAGAGGTGCAGTGGCCTCTCTGCACTCTCTTTCCTCCCAGTCTCCCATGGTCACCCCAGAGGCCCTGGTCTCTGGCTCCCCTGTGAGCATGGTGGCCCCTCAGCGCCCCCATCTCCCAGCCTGAGCTGTGATCAGGGCAGCTCAGCAGGCGTCCAGCCCCATTACAGGCTCCGAGCCCCTGAATAGAGTATTTCCTGAGGGCCAGGAGGATAGGCAGCGAGAGGGGATGGGGGCAGAGGACTCCTGGGAAGACATGCAAATGCAGTGTTCAGACTTCTGCTCTCCATCACACCCTTGGAGCATCAGTGGTCAGCAAGCTGCTCACCCCAGGGGAGGGTGTCTTCTTGCAACATTCAGTATGCCTGCATTCCTCTTCCTTTTCTGAGCCCCCTCCTGCCCTGGAAGGGCCATCCTGCTGTCCAGCACCATCGTGTCCCTCCAGCCCAGCTTTCCCTGCCAGGGCTGTCTCAGCACCTGTGTCCGCTCCACAGTGTATACCCCTGTTGGTCAGCAGAAAACAAGGTGTGTTGCAAGAGGTGACCATCCTATTTTGGGGGTAACCTCCAAAGCCTCTCATCTCTCTGCTAGGCAAGCATGGAGTCTACCTTACCAGCCTTCCTCCC